AAATTAAAAACAAAATACAACATAAAAATAATTATTATCAAAAATTAAAATGAGAAAATATACATACATATATATAATAATAATTGTCCAAAATATTTGTTAGAAATAAATTATATGCTCAATTGCATAAAAATATATATTTGGCAATTTATAAATTCTAAACAAGAAAAAAAATTGATGAAAAAAATAAATAAAATTTATTCATTAAAGAAATTAAAACAAATTTGAGAAAATCAAAATTATATACAAGCATGAATTTTGCAGAAAAAAAAAATAATGATATAAAATCTATTATATATATTACTACATGTTGTATATAACCATTTCGTTTATTCTAATCGTTCATTTTTAAAAATTTAAAATACAATATAATATGTCAAAATACTTACGTGTGGCATCACCTTTTGCCTCTGGACTAAGTCTATGCACAAAACGATATGAGTCTAGAGAGAAAAGCCATTAAGAATTTAAGCGACTTAATCATTGCATTTAATAGATCGTTTCATTTTGATTCTTATTACAAAATGATTTTCTCATAATTATATTATTCTAATTTTTTATTATTAAAATATGTGTATTATATACTTTAAATAAATTGTATATCAGATATATTGGCACCTACTTTATCAATTCCAAATCAAGATTTTTTTGTAACTCAACTCAAGTTATATATAGAAAATGACCGACTTTCCACACTTTAATGACAACAGGCTATATTGATGTGACAGCGGTTATATATATCCAAGCATTTAAGTCAATTAAAGACCCTTTTCTTTGAAGCTGTTTCTATCCAAGCACTTAAGCCAATTTAAGACCCTTTTCTTTGAAGCTGTTTCTACTAATCCAAGCACTTAAGCCAATTTAAAACCTTTTTCTTTGAAGCTGTTTCTACTAATCATGGAACTAAGAAGTTAAGTATTTACATTAGAAATGCATGGGTTTTCATTGGAACCTAAATATCTATTATGTATTCGTCATGAATTCATCGTTGTATTTCTTTAAGTCAAACTGTCTCGTTAAAGTGTAGCATACAATTTATATACAATTTATAATACATTATCAAGTATTATTTCTTCATACGATTTAAGATGTCTGTTTAGATACCCGCAAAACTTGTAGCACGTCTTCTATTACAGTAGAATCCCAGTTTTGTAAGATGGTAATTCAGTATTTAAAATTTACATAAATGAATCAAAATGATTTTAATATTGATGACATAGATATTTTCTTCTAAACCATATCTACAACAACTCATGGGTCCAGATAGACTTTAGTATTTATAACTTACCGTACCTTAACCCATTCTAATGCTTTATAATCTTTAATTCGACATAGTTTCTGCCAGTTATGGAGTCAGTGAGAAGTTGTGTATTGCATACTATAAATGAATCAAAGTACGTCTTATTTTGATGCTACATAGCATTTTATTCAAAACGATTAAAAAGTTTAAGTTCATATTAATAATTTTCAAAAAAAAAACCTTTTTGATACTACACAATCTTTTACTTGACACCTCTCCCACTACACATAACCCGAATGATGTTCAGTATTTATAATTTTTATGAGCTCTACTCTACTCTACTCTCTATACCTGCAAACGTGATCTATAAAAGAAGCTCTAAAGCAGTGTCAGCCTAAAATTCTGTACTCTGCAATATTAATTCGTTTGTTTCTATATTAATTTTCTGGATTAAGTCTGAATTTGTAGAGTTGAAATATGTGGGCTATGTCGTTTTTCGCTCAACTGTTGAAGAGAGATCTAGCCAATTCCTATTGTTTTGGCACAAAAGAGAAATATCTTCACAATTTGTGTATACCCATTAATTTGGAACGCCTATTTTAAATTAAAGAGATCAAAAATAAGTGTTGACTGCTCTTTAATAAAGACTTGTGGTTATAACAAAAAGAAAATCACGTTTTCAGGAAACATTTAAAGAAAATATGTGAAAATTTATAATAATTTTAACAGAACTGGGGATTATAGATGTTAAAGTAATAAAAAAGAATTGGGCATTGTAGTTAAAAGTTCAATTACAGAGAAGAAGTATAAAGTTTTTACGAAGTGTGCTTTATAGAGATAATTGTTTGTCTTGTGTTAGAACAAAGAACGCCACATCCCGACCTATTAAAATGAATATATCTATGGTACACAAAATAAATAAATACTGTTTCTTCTTTAAAGTGGGATATCTTTCGCTAACGCCCTGAAAAACTACCTCTTCGAATTGTCATTAATGTAAATTAATTTCTTAATTATTATATTGTATGTATTTCGCAATTTATTTAATATATATTATATACATATTTTTTTTCTATATATAACATTTTAAAATTTTTTATTTATTTTATTTTTTTAATTTATTTTTTAATTTTTTATTTATTTATTTAGCACTTAATTTCTTTTATTCTTATTCATTAATTGAAGTTATTAAATACGTTTATGGTATAAAGTGATCATATATATTATGATTTTTGTTCATAAACAAGCAACCTGAGGAGGAACGAATTGCTTAACGAAAGAAAGTTAAAGATTTAAGTGGAGTAAAGAAAAAAAAAATATTTTGTTAATGTTGAAAAATTTAAATAAATTACACAAAACATTCAAATTTGCATATAACAATGTTATACAATAAAAACAAAATACATACAAACAACTTAAAGAAAATCATCAATTGTAATATATACTCACACCCAACACAAAAAATTATGTATCACTATATATACATATGTATGCATATTACTATATATGATATATAGTGTATATACGTATATACTATATATATTATATATAGATATATATGTATATACCATATATGATATATAATATATATATATATATAATGATACCAAATTATAATATTCACTCATGTAACCATGGCTTAAAATCAATATACAAATTAAGTACTTCGAATTAGAAACAAATTTAATTATAAAATTTTACTATTAAATGAAACCATTTTTTATATACATTTTATATTTATATATTACTCGTATATACTCAAAAATGTATTTTAAATACAAAAAAAAATTGAAAAAATTTTGTATACATAATATTCCACAGTTCACACATGCACACATACATTTTCACAACAAAAACAAAAAACTAATAATAATAATAATAAAAAATAACAGAAGTTTTTTTCCTAAATTTTTCAAATATTTCATAAAAAAAATTTCAGACAAAAAATATATTTAATGAAATACAAACCAAATAGTTTTTAATATTAACGTTAATACATAAATAAAATTCATTACTACTATATGTATATATATATATAAATATATATATATATATATATATGTATAAAATTTATGTATTATATATATATAATATACATATATACATATAAAAAAATTATGTTTAATATACATATAATATATATATATATAATATATATATATATATATATATATATAAATATATATAAAATTTAAAAATTCATTACTTGCTAAATTACTTGCATTACTAATGAAAACCACAAACCAAAATAACTACAACAAAAAATCCATTATATATAAAATAATATTATATGATATTATAAAAAAAAAAAATTTAAAAAGTTAAAAAACTGAAGAATAAAAAATTTTAATAAAAATTAATATATTATTGTACGAATATTATTATTATTATTAAAATTATTATGATCTTAAGATATGAAAATAAAATAATAAAACAAAACAAGAAATGAAAGAAATTTAAAAAGTAAATAATGATAAATAATATATATAATTAAGAAGTTAAAGCTGAAGAGGAAGCAAAAATGAATTATAATTTAATAAAAATTAATAAAAATAAATAATATTGCGTTTGAATTAAATGAAGTGGGTTTCAAAGCTATTGACACGAATGCTTAAACACAGATTTAGTGAATATGTATATAATAAAATCTTATTTTTATTTATTATTTTTATTTTAATTTTAAATAAAACTTATTATTTTAAGATAAGTGGCAGTGTGGCAGACTATGTCTGCGCTGAAACCATTAGGATGTATCAAGTATAGATCAAGACGCTTGGAAGTTAGGGATGCTCAGTTAGATGATATTGACTTACAATTGCGAATGATGGAGGCTCTACTTAAAAAGAGGTCAAGATCGGACATCGATATTAGTGCCGTTGATGATGATGATATTACGTATATCAAATCTATATATATAGGTATATATATTGTACTTTGCATTCTATATAGTATATAGAAGAAAGTGTTTAAATTTAACTGCAACTTTTCACAACACTGTATTTTACTAAATAAAATTTTACTGAACATATGTAATTTTATGAATGTAATGTTAGAAAACAATTTAATTTTTCGTATTTATTTAGAATTTCCTATAAGATACCTTTAGCTTGAACTACAATTTTGTAAAATTTTGCAAACATATCGTACACTGTATAAATGTTAATCCGAGCAATCTTCACACATTCCAGTAAAAGGGCTGGCTTAGAAAAGCCTTAGAACATTGGTTTTTCCTAATGGCTATAAAATATGCTACCTAGACGACGAGTGGGTCTGACGTGGTGAGAATGGAACTCACTCTCAAACAAAATAAATAGTGGAAGGGTATTTTTTGTAACAATGATAAAAGACAAATTTTCTAAAGATATAGATTGCCTGTACAATCGATTTATGTACATTTTCTTAAGTTATATCTGCATACGGCACTAAATAATAATACATTCTCTAGCACAAAATGTAATAGATCTTTAAAGATAAATGACGCACTTAACCGTTTATAGTAAACGTCAAAGCAAAAGCTGTAAGATCCCCTATCAGATATCACACACTCACTATAGATTTCAACAGCTCTGATAATATTTATCATTTCAGAGAAGATAGCCTTGCGCTCTTTTAATTAGCTTTTTCAGCTTGAATATTACTTCTTAGTATTTCTGTAGAAGTCTTTCTCTTGGGACAGGGGCAAATCATTGTTCTCCAATTCGTTCTCTTTCAATTTTTTAAAGCTGTTGAATTAAAGAAATTTGATGAATCGATCAGAAGAATGAATTCAGAAATTATTCGATCAAGTAAAGAATGTCGCACTTAGGCTCTCAATTTATTAACAGAGACATAAAGTTTGGCAATAAAGGTAATAATAGCCAATATAATCGGTTTTGTTCCTTCTTTCTATCAAGCTAATTATTTTTTGTAACAGCGATCAGACTTTGCTCTATTTGTTCCGCATTTTTAATTTGAGCTCTAGTTTTCCGAATAACTAATGCCGCACCTTCTTTCAACACGTTTCTCTAACTTGTCAGTTTCACTGGAATATATTATGCCTTAATATTTATTGGCGTTGAGCTATTCGAAATCTCAATGAATAACTACCTGTGATTTGTAGTTCAAATATACCGGTACTGTTGTGAAGGCTGCAGATGTAACTAATCACGTAATTCACCATATCGATGATACCGAAAAGATTCCAAGAACAGTCGGGTCTACATTCCGGAGCCAGTCGTCATCAACGACGACCAAGAATCGTTCAACATCCCCCAATGGGATGGGACCACAAGCAGGTTCCGGCGGGTTACAACAACAACAACCGGTATCATACTATTATCAAAGAATCTAAAATCTAGATTTTTTGCTGTTACGTTTCAATTCCATTATAAAAAAATCCTTACAGAAATTTAAGAACCACATGTTTCCTCTTCTCAATGCATTTCTTCAAACAACAAAATCAGCTGTTGTTTAGATTCTGCTACGCGTTCCAAATGAGAGCAGTTTGTAATTGATTAATGTTGAATCAGACAAATTCAGCTTACTTATATAAATAGAATAAAAAGCTTTATAATTCTAACAACTTTTCTTTATTTGTATTAAACAATTACGTCCAAATGTTCTTCTTTTTATCTATATTTAAACTATTACCACCAGGGAAAACTTATTGTTCGTTATAAATTGCTATATATGAAACCAACAACATGTCTGACTCACTGCAGAATGAAGACAGTTTTCGAGATAGGATTTCGCGTTATGGATTCTATTATTTGAGATTTAAATGAAAATTTAATTAGGGCTTTACATCAGTTCATTAATATTCAGAACATTAATTACTTACCATATTGAAGAATCACAATTTAAGCTCGTTAACTTGGGTTACCACTCATTACTGTTGCTCTCTAACGTATTAACGGATCACCATCTAATGTCGTTGCTCTGGGTAGACGCCTTTTTACCTCAGCTTTGTACGCGTCATCAGTCAGGGTTTCTTGTAATGGATTTCCAACAAAAGAAATTGCTTGCAATGGTGGAACAGCCATACGATTAAATTCCATCCAATCTTTAACATTATTATGTGATACATAAAATACTCGTAGTATTTTCATCGCTTCAATTGGTTTTAAATTTTCAATTAAATTATAACTAATCCATAATTCCTCTAACGTATTGGCTAATGTCTCCTACAGAGTAAAAGAAGAGAAAGAGAAAATAAAGAGAATAGAAGAGAATAAAGAGGAAATCTCTGAAAATTTCTAAAAATATTTGAAAATTTTAATTCATTCACTTACAATACCAGTTAAATGTTTGATTCTATTTCGTGAAAGGGCAAGTATCTTCAAATTCGTTAAAGAGCTCAGACCTGTGATTTTCTCAATAGCATTTGTGGAAAGACTAAGTTTCCGACATTCTTTCAGTTCACTCAAACTGGAATCCATTTTTTCAATCGGTGGCCATTGCAATTGTAGACTGACGTCATGAGCTTCAGATGCAGCTTGTTTGAATTTTTCTTGCCAATTGGTGATGGCCTCTTTTATTGTTGTGGGTTTAGACATTTTCAATTAGACATATAATTTTGATGTGTTCATTATGACTGAAATAAAAATCTTAAACTTTGTTACTTAAATATATGCTAAAAATATATGTTCGTTTCTATTCCATGGTGAATACATTATAAATATTTTAAAAATTTGACATATTCCACAAAGGAAGTAAGTTTTAAATGTAGTTACTAATATTAAGCTATTGTGTATATTTTAAATGCAGAGGTCGCTATTTATATAGTGATTGTTGGTAACGCTAAGTATTGATAAATACCAATTAATATTTTCACAGGCAAGTTTCACATTTTCGACATTTTTGTCCAATGTCTTATATTAATCCAACTCCGTCATTCTGAACTGAGGCAAAATTACTCGTATCGACGAGTACCTCCTCTCACTCGCTCGAAGGTACCTCACGTAGCTACACAACCGCCTGACATCTTACCCCCTATCATCTCACCTGCGGATTTAGTCTAAGCCTTGCTTGATATATATTAAGAACTATTATAGCTATTATTTATATAGCTTAATACAGTCCAATTGCACCCACCCACATATCTACCCGTTTAATTAACCAATGCTAGAAAATTACATGGGGAACGAACATTTCCTCAGAAAATTTATATCTTGTATTAATATTGTATCAAATGACACCATACATAAGAAATCACATCCACTATATACATAGAAATTGTATTATTACTTGTATTACTTGTATAGTAATAAGGTGGTTTAAAATAGCATTAAAATTAATATTTTTTAGTACTAAGCACTAAAATTAGTGTTAATTGTCTTAAGTGCAAGAACCATGTTATGTAGAGAGTTATGATCATGAGAAACTGAAAGAAAATCGATCAAACTTTAATGACAGTATCGACGCATTCTGTAACTTATCACGTTGGTCGAAACAGAGTTACTCACACTAAAAGATATTGAAATTCACACCTTTAAGAAGTATAAACATATATACATTTTTATGTGGATATATAAGCATATTAAAATTTGGGTACAAGTTGTCAGTTGTTAGTTAATTCCAAAAATCGCTGGAGGAAAAATAAAATTGGGTATTGTTCAGATAATAACTACTTTGTGTTACTACTACGATATCTATTCAGAGTTCTAGCAATTCGATAAAACCATAATCTTATTGAGAGCTTAATCTTTGTCTAGACATAACTAAATAGTGATATGACAGTGAATGTTTTAGAAGCTTTCAACGATTTTCCATATAACAGCTTTGACTAAGAGTTTTACTAGACTAGACTTCTTAGTGTTTATCTTTTTACCGAAATATAAACAAAAGAAAAATGAAGAATTTAATATTTTCTGGACAGTACATTACCATTTGTTTTTTCATAATTAATTGTTCAAAGAAATCTTATAACCAATTCCTAAAGATGAATAATTCTTCAATACGACAGAGCGATCTCGATATAACTCAAAGCGAATTTTTCAGCACTCAAAATATCGAACTGAGAGGTCATTTATTCTAAAGTGCAGATATGTCATAAAACGACTTCTTGTCGTTCCTGCAGATCTAGGACAAACTACAAAAATACCGATTATCATCACCAAAGAAAGCCGGTAATGTGTTCCAAATCTGTAACTTGGAGAGGTCTCAAGTGTAATGGAATAAATGGTATGACAAATAATTTGTACCCATTTATAGAAGTGTGTGAATCATAAAAAAGAATATTTTTAAATTCAATCAAGCCATTTTTAATTACAAGTGATTGATTTTTTATTATAAGTTTCATAATATTCCACAAGTGACGTAGTTAGTACTCATTAATTTCATCAGAAATGTAATTACTATACTTAACTTACTGAAACACTTTTTCGTTGAACTAATTAGAAACCTTTACTTAAAAATTTGTCCCATTTATTAGCACATTTTGTCAAGGTTGGACACTATAACGTATTCTTCATAGCCTGTAAACTCTTCTATGAATATTAAGCAATACCTGTAATTATTGGTTCAGATTTGGATCTTACTTTTATAGAAACAATCCCATTTAAAAATTCTTGAAAAAATAACATAAGTAAATATATTTTCACCAAATCTTTAGATAGATTATATTACATTATAATAAAGTTCATAATCACTCTTTGACGTGTCAAATCCAGATATTGAACTCATAATAATATGATCATTAAGAAGATCAAGTTTTGATGTAATAAATGCTCCTATAATACTTAAAATAAATTAACTGCTTTTTTTGTATCTCTGTTTTCTTTATTAACACTTTTATGATTTTTTAGTACATGTTTATTTCTATCGAACATATCCGTACTCTGACAACACCAAGTCCGCACCTCATCATACCTCATGTACATACTAGAACTAGATTCTCATGATAGTTCCAGAAGTTGCATTACTAAGCGAATAATTATGTTTCAGTGCCTTTCTATACATACCGAAGGCCATTTAAGAGAATCACCTTCTAAGTACTTTAAGGTCGGCAAGCGTTTTTTTACCTCTGCTGTGAATGCATCTTCTGATAGGAGCTCCTGCAATGGATTACCCACAAAAGAAAGTGCTTCGAGTGGTAGAAGAGCCAAGCGATCAAATTCCTCCCAATCTTTTATATTATTATAAGCGATGTATAATAATTTTAACTTTTTCATGCATTCAATTGGTTTCAGGTCTTCGATATAATTTTGATTTATCCATAATTGCGTCAAAGTATTTGCCAAAACTTCCTAAACTCGTATTCGTATAAAAAATGCTATATATACTTGTAAATTATTTACGTGTTGCAGATACTTACAATACCATTTAATTTTCTGATTTTATTGTGAGATAGTATCAGTACTTTTAATTTCCTTAGAGCGCAAAGACTCGTAATGTGCTCAATCATATTGTTAGCAAGGCTAAGTCTACGAACCTCTTTCAGCTCTGTTAAACCAGAATTCATGTCCTCTATGGGTGGCCACTGAAAACGCAAATTGACTTCATGGGATTGCGATGCAGGTCGGTCGTATTTAACCTGCCAAATGACGATAGCGTCCTTTATTGTTGATGGTTTAATCATTTTTTATATGACTTGCAATTTAGATAAGTGTTTTAAGACCAAAACAAAGATATTTTATTGCACAATAGTTTTTATTACATATAATTTTTATATAAATTTCTATTTATGTTCATGTTTATTTTTTAAGAGCTTGACATATTTGTCGAAGCAAGTGAATTTTAAAAGTGAAATTTTTAAAATTAAAAGAAATATATATTTAACTAACTTCTAAGTTTATTGTTTCAAACTAAAAGTATTGAAAAAGAGAAAGTACTGGATTGAATGGTAAGTGTACAAGTGGACAGATCTGTTCCCTGATTACTAAGTGTTTCGATTTCTGGTGGTGTGTTGCTTTATAGGTCTGAAGAACCTATAATATCACAATAATCCATTATTTCTGCTCAAGTATGCTTTGGTGCAGATGGCCGTCACATCAACCTATTGTAACCTACTATAAAATCACCACAAAATGAAAGTATCTCTTAGAGAACACATAGTTAAGGTCTGGGGAAGAATAATTTTCGATTAGTTTGTCTATATTATAAATAAGAGAAGCAGGTACTTAATCGCAAAAACAACAAACTCTTAAATAATTCTTAAAAGACAAATCTGCTGCAATCAAACAACCAATTAACATAATAATCTGCAAGCAGCCAAAACTCTATATAAGGTAGGCAAACAACGTACATATAATATGTGAGCTGATGGACTGACCAAACACGTCACTAGTAATTCGGAATACACAAGTATAATATATCTGAGATGGGCGTTCCCATATTCTTATCCCATATCCTCATACAAAGTATTACCTCCTCTGTATATTTTTACTTTGAAAAATTGTCGGGACGGATTCACCAGAAGTGGTTAAAAAATTTTCCTTTAATATGGTCTTTGAAATTTTCAGATGTCCAACTTTTATTTCTCATGACTTACATTGAAGTATCAAAACCATGCTGGAATATGATAATATGGCACAATCCATTCTTACCACATTAGATGTGCTATACGAATGTAATGTGGCTACTAGGTTAGGTTGAAAGACCTCGTTAACACTTACACTTGGTGGTAACTATTTCCTGTTGTGCTGTCCTTACAAAAGAAAAATTCTATAAGATTCTAACTTATCTTCAATTCTTGATTTCTTTAAGTTATATAGTCTACGTTTTGTTAAAGCCTACATTAAAGATCGAACTTTAGTTTTATAAATATTTTACATTCAACATATATCTTTAGGACTGTTTTAATTAAAACTGAAAAGTTTTGGTCGCACCAAATTTAATGTGTTTTAGAATTCAATTTTCAATATATAAAATTTACTACTTATAATATATTATATAAACTATATCATAAATACAATTATGAAAATTATTATTTAAATGACTTATTATGACACTAATAAGATTTGGCACATTTTTGAGCATATAGAGTATTTGATATATACAAATATCTACGGGTGTATAAAAATTAAATGTCTTTGAATATGAATATGAAATCTTTGAATGGTTTCATTTTGTTTCATCAATTTTCGTTGTCAGATATTTCAGAGTTCCATTTCTGTAGTAAAGACGTCATGTTCTGCTTCTGCGGTAACGTATTGTAGGCGTGTGATATACCAAAGGGACGCAAACGATATACAAAGTAGTCCAATACGTAAAAAAAGGACGGTTGGATGTAATGGAATGATATCGCCAGATCGGAACAACAGTCAAGGCCCTAGAATATAAATGTATATTATAAGTAAGAATAATAAAAATGTGTATGTATTTGTAGATATGAAGTATGTGTTTTGATTAATAAAAAAAAAATTGTTATAATTTTTTCCCTTCCCTTGTTCAATGACTACACAAGTGGATTAAGGAATTGCCAATTGTTCTTACAAAAGACACGTCTCATTGCCTTCGTAGCGAGTAATGAAGCTTCAACTGTCGTTATATGTAGCATTTGGTCATCGGTAATGTGTAGCTAAAGAAAGCTTTTACCGCTCCTAAAATCTCCATGCGTGTGTTAGTCTCTAACTGTCTGGACATCATTTTACGTACATATTCTTATGTACGTATTCCTATATGTATGTATGATTGTACCTTTATGTTTTTATATTTTCATATGACTATATAACTTTAAATCAATCTGTCTGTCAGATTAAATGTGCATCTATATATACTTCTATTTGAATGATGGAAAACTAGTGTTTCACTTATTGATCCGTGTATGGTACACTGCAACTTTTAGTTAATAATTCAAAAAAAAAAACAATCAAAATGAATTTCACCTTTATAGGTATATGTTTCAGTAGGATTTCTCGAACTGTTCGAACCTTCAAAGATTTCGATAATCGAGTATGCTTATACTCGAGCATATCCCAGCACAATAATCGTTCTAGAATGGTCAAACGGTTCCAAAAGCGGTCAGTTCCCTACATCATTTGTCTGGACGAACCAACGAGTATTTTTTTATTCTGCCAACAGGGACTCAAGTGTCCTCAAGCTAGAACAACAAGATTAACTAAATGTCTTCTAAAAAGTCTACACAAATTATTCTATTGTATAAATTTTTAAAAAATAAACTAACACATCCTATATACCTATCAGAACCAATACATTTTGTATTAGTTCAAAGGAAAGACACGTAAAAAAAAAATAACTCCGATGCCTAAAAAATAAAAATAACTTCGATGCCTAAAAACTTTTACACAATTATTTCCCGAACTAAAGTTTTACTGATGTCAAAAAGGGTTAGTCAGTGAATTCTTAGCTTTCCGAAAAATCCTCTTCCAGCAAGCATTTACGTTGGATTCTCGTTGTTAGTACCGTCTAAGCCCGCTGAATAAACTTTAAGTTTCATTTCAACATAAAGTTTGTCAGAAGGCAGAATTAGTTTTTATTTCTAATTTTATACTTTTACAAACAGGTTCCTCTTTTCACACATTTATTGATCGTATTATATGTTTAAAAAGCCATATGTTTAATTTCTTATGTACAACTCTGAGCTTTAATATTTTCATCACCGAAATATTTTACATAACTTAGTACAAGAACTTACATCTTCTGTCGCATAGTATATGTAACGCCAATACCAATGTGACTTATCTTTTGGTATAAGATGTCCTTGTGGACCTGAAGGGAAAAATCGACCACGTTTTTGTTCATCTCTAGAGTCACCAGCAACAACACCAACATTTTGTAAACAGTAACCCATTTCTTTATCTTCAGATCCACCGCTACGCTGACGACATATTTTTGAATTTGGATAAGCCTTATTAACAAAGCGACGTAAAGCTTCTTTACTTAAAGCGTAGCCAGCACCACCAGACATATAACCCTATGAGAATTAAAATTTATATATATTCAAAGACATTTCTAAGTATATATCTTATGACATATTTACCTGTCGTACATGTGGTTTGAACTTACAACCAAAGTATACTGGTGATTCTGATGAAAATTGATAGAGAAATGCTCGTAGATTCTCCACAATAACATAACTAAAGAATTAAAATACTTATCTATCATTCTACTATCTTTCATTACATGAAATTACTCACGTATCATCATCAGCCTTTAAAAACCAATCTGCCTCATCCAAATGATGGTCGTATATATATTTGGCGGCCTCACGTGTCTTACGCCATAAATTGCCACGACCTTCGCCAACAGACAGTTTAACAGCACCGAGCTCACTGTCTTCAGCAGAGCTCATAAATATTAATTTGTTGCAACGAGAACCCCAGGTATTTTTAACATGTACAGCACGCTTGGCATGGTTATTTGGACTGGTGAGCACCCAACATAATACACGAGTTTCATTGTACAATTTATCTGCTAACGATTTATAATCACTCAAATTACTATCAGATATTGGCCATGTAGCATTTGGTATTTCCGAATCGGGAGCCAATAAGTCTTTAACACGTTCAGCGTAGTAATCATCATGTTGTTCTGGTGAATATGTTCGTCCTCTTGCACTTGTCCAAAGAGTTGTTTGTATTTGAAGGTGGGTGCAATTTGTGCTATATAATACCTGTGATATTATAAGTCCCAGTGCTATGCCGAATATTAATGTCAGAAATAACTTTAACTGAGTAAAGTTTCTTTGCAGTAGCATAATAGGATCAGATTTAATCCTTTTCCAATTCCAGATAATTTTTTGATAAATAAGTTGTTACCACCAAGTCATTTGATTTTCATCCATATGTCTAGAAAAAAGAGTATTAAAAATATATATTAATTAAAGAAAAATTTTGATGATTTTATAAACTGAAACTGTAATTTGTATAATAGGTAAAAATAAAAAATGCGCCCATTTACATAAAGAAGTTGTATTTTTATTTAAGGTAGAACTGCTCTTCATGAATATTATGCGAATTTGGCAGAACTATTCTTGGTCTTGCACATGGATTAAAAGCAGTTTTCGTAGGATATAGTACTTGGTGTAATATATATAAAGCTTTTTTCGAAATATTTTCCAAAGGTGTGTGTCATAATTTAGTGATATTGGCAGAGCAATTATAAGTCTGATATATGGATTATGCTTGTTGAAAGAAGACTTCGTATGATGAACGCCCAAACAGCCGAGTGGACAATAAATGGCAAAATCCAATAAAATGGATAAACATCGATAAACAGTCGACAGTATAGACTATGGTGTCTATATTTTGGATTATGCAGTTAATGCATATTGTCAGATCATTGTTGGTGTCAGATCCAATATCAATGTTTATGGTGTCCAAATTTTATAAAATACACTTTAAACTGATTCACTTTTACACTGGTTGAAAAGACATTCAAAAGTTAAATCAACAAACAATGTTCTGGTGCCATTAATCCGGTGAAGCACACGATAGTAGTAAAATTCAAAATAAATTCAAATTAAAAATCTTAGAATAACCGATGTATATATTTTATCTGTAATGGGAAGTAAGGATATACCCATATAGTCAAAAGAACCATGACTTAATAATTTTTGGGTTTTCCATATTTATTATATGGTGGATAGCTATGTATTTGTCACAAATCTTGGATTACATTTAAGAAATTCTGCGGAAATATTGCGCTTTCGTTTCGAATGCGTCTACAAAGCTATAAGTGAAGCTCTATTGTCGGTTTATTAATTACTGGTTACAGACTTTATAGGCAATCTGGTTGACTATCCAAAGATTTGTAAAAACACTCGTATCTTTATGTAGCCTTCTATGCTGAAATAGTGATCTGACTACAATCAGATTTCCTTCACAACATAATAACTTACCCTTCTCCAAATCGTCTATTTAGGGGAAAATATCTTTATTTTCATAGATTACTTTTGCATTTATATCATCAAGAATATATAAAATATCATCTTTTACTACTTGTTGCTTTTTAGAACTGGTTAGCGATTTATAGAATCATATGAAAAGACGCATATGCCTTGATGATCAACATATTTATAACACTCGTTTTCATTTTTGTATTAAAAGTACTGGAGATAACTAGACACCATTCGGTACTATTTCTGGTAATTTTAGAAGTTTTCAATATTTACAGTATCGGAGCATAATAATATTGTTGCATCACCTGCTATCTGTCTGTAGGGTCACCTGCAGGCTAAGTATGAATAATTTATTTTTCAATACTCTCGACTCGAATCTCTTACCGCCCAGCTATTTCTTTAGGTTTGGAAAGAACAGAAAATAGTCACAGGGGGCTAAATCTGGAGAATATGCTGGATAGGGTAGCAGTTCGTATCCCAATTCGTGGATTTTGGTCACGAATGCTTAATCAGCACACGAAATTCATTTTTTTCCATTTTTGTAAAAATTTACGAGGTTGTCTGCTTTGAACGGCTATCAGACACCAACTGAACGACGTGGCTTGCTCAAAACTAGAAGGTTGCTTACTGGTAGATTACAGCTGACGGAAACACTGTTGCATTTGGAGTAACTGCGCGGGAAATTCAAAAGTCAGTGACTTATCAAACCGCCTTGGTATATAATTTTATACGACGCCATACATGCCTTGATTTGGTAAGTAATTCAAATGATTTTTTAGAAGTATTCGTTGAACCCCAACAAATCTTCCTGACGACATATACATATATTAATTTAAGAAAGCACATAATCGAACAAATTCAGTGCTCTGTTTTTGATATACTTTTGCACACTCTCGAATCCTTGTACGTCTTCATTTCTGTAGAATATTGTGTAAGTTTCAGTATAATATTTTAATAAGTTTGGAGTTTTCTAATGGTGGCTGACGGAGCAATGCCATAAGTAACACATTCATAAAGTAGTTTAGGTGTAATTATTTGCTTATAAAGAGGAATTTTATACAATTTTGCGGGCATATCCTTGCAGTCCCATATAAAAATATGCATATCTACTCCTAATAGGAACAATCTCTAAGAATTTTTGCTGAGTAACACTGTTTTGACCAAAGTGACGAAGAAAGCCTCATTACTTAAGCTAACATAATTAATTAATAAGAGCTGCTAAAGCTGTTTATAGTAACGACTAGGTTTGTTCAAATTTCTTATGTGGTATACTGAACTATGATTCTATAATGGATGTCACAAAAAAATGTGGTTATAGGAGAGTTAAAATCTACGTTTAGTTTATTATTAAAAGTGTTCATTCTAATGTTGTTATTGTTGTAGCCGACAATGATCTATAAAGCAGATAACATGAAAGAAATTACAAAGATGTATACATTAGTCAGGATGTGGATAGATAATCTTAGTGTGTGCGGAGATATTCTTCCAAGAATAGCCGGGTCAACGTCTCAGAGCCACTCGTCGAATTCGAAAATCAAGTGCCGTTTAACACTCCCAAAAGAGACTGCAAAAGCTGATACCTATTTGGTTTGATATTGACTCGCTCGAATAACTCGCTTTACTGTAGTTCCTCATGTAAATTGATAATAATTATGGCTTCAAAACATGTTTTTGTACACTCCAAAAATATATAGTTATAAAAAAGTTACAAGTTGTATTTAATTCATTATTGATGGATGAACTCTGATGTTGTGATTATAATGACTTAAAATAAATTTCTATTTACATCAAAAAATAATATGTCTTTAAAAAGATTAATTCATTAATAAAAATTCTTAAAAATTTGTGTACTAATTGCTTACTTTCTGAAAGATTCTTTTCTAATAATGAACTCTGATATTGTGAATATACTCCAAAGAAGTTGGTTATAAAAGAGTTGAAATATTTAACTTATAGATTATTAATAAGAATGTTTGAGCCAATTTCAGTCTTCATTTAAGTCTCAAAACTGATATACTAGATATGAATTAAGTCCACAAAGTTGATAACTTTATCATGACGTCTGTCAATATTGACACTCGAGTTACAACTGTAAAACCGACAACGATAACTTGTTTAGAAGTCACCAATGCCCAGCCAGGGTTTTAACTAAGATATTCACTCAAAATTAGATTATGGAGTCGGTAGTGATGTGTTTTCTAATAAATTAAATCATTTTATTTCGATTTCCAGACTTTCGATTTGTAGTATCTTTAAGGTAAAATTAAGAAAAAAATATTGTGTACTCATATAGTTAAATAGGTTTAATGCAGCATTATTTCCGATATGACCATCTTTTAGAATATCTACACTGTTAAATAGGTTTAATGCAGCATTATTTCCGATATGACCATTTTTTAGAATATCTACACTGTTAGAAAAATCTCTTATAAACGCTACTGTTACATATGTTCAAAAACGTACCGATTTTCTTATGGAGTTTGACTAGATTTGCAAGTGCCGAACTCATTTGGGTAAGTTTAACATGAATTGAAATGACTATAAATGGGATAACAGCTGTATTTTATTTATTGATAAAAACTTATGCTGTTAATACCAATTTCTTGCTTTGTAGAAGTTTCTCATGTAAATGATGAACTGTTATATTAGGAAAATGTTACTGTTATATCAGGAAAATGTTACTGTTATATTTGGAAAACGTATTAAATTTATAAGTGTTACATCTTAAAGTTTCGAGCCATTACTAGGCTCAATTTGCTGTAGATCAAAGATTGACAGAATGAATTGTGATGCCATGAGTAAGCTTCAAAGAAGTTAGTTATAAAAGGGTTAATATTTGTATTTTATTTATTAGTTAAAACTCTTGAAGTTTTTTGTACTAATTATTTGCTTTGTGGAAGTTTCTCATGTACATGATAAACTGTGATATAAGGATTATGTTTCAGAGAAGTTGTCGTGAAAGGGTTAACATTCATATTTAATTTATTACTAAAAGTTATTTAAGTTTTTATAGTAATGGGTTGTTTTACTGTAGTTCACTTATTGAAAGGATGTATTGCGACATTATGGTCACATTGTTATAAAGTTTTATAAAAAACAAAACTTTGAATAATTAGCAAATTAAATAAATGAAACCTTAAAATAATTCTATAACAATTTTAGAAGTTAATCAAAAGTCAAGTACGGCTTCGGATCAGTTGGTTAAGATGCGCTGACTCTTTGCTTAAAATTTGGCAGGACACGAGTTCGATTCCTGGTACATGCAGTCTCAAAAAATAATTATTTACGAATAATTAAATACAAGAATTATTTCCAAGATCACTGATGTTGGGTATTTGGCAATACTCGAAACAACTGTATGGTCAACCAACAATTCAATTAATTAAAATAATATAAAATGAATTTTTGTTGTCGTTGTTCACTGTTTAAAAGACTTCTTTATAAGTTGGTTATAAAAGGGTTATTTAATGAATTGCTCTTTTTGTTGTAAATCCCTTATTAAAAATATGAACTGTGGCGTTATAGGTACGTTTGAAAGAAATTGGTTATAAGAGGGTTAATATTTGTATTCAGTTGATTGATCTCTTTGTTGTTGTTCCCCTATTAAAAGGATGAACAGTGACGTTATAAGTACGCTCCAAAGAAGTTGGCTATAAAAGGATTAATATTTGTATTCAATTAATAGTTCTCTTTCTTGTAGTTTCCCTATTAATGAACAGTGAGTACGATCCAAAGAAGTTGATTATAAAATGGTTAAAGGGTTATTCAATGAATTGCTCTCTTTGTTGTACTTTTCCTATTAAAAGGATAAACTGTGACTTTATAGATGCGTTTTAAAGAAATTGGTTACAAGAAGGTTAATATTTGTATTCAGTTGAATGCTCTCTTTGTTGTACTTTCCCTATTAAAAGGATGAACAGTAACGTTATAGGTACGCTCCAAAGAAGTTATTATATAAAAGGGTTAATATTTGTATTCAATAAAATGCTGTCTTTGTTGTAGTTTCTCATATACTACATATGTATATTTATATGTAAATAAATATTCATAATTTTAATTGATTTTTGTTTTTTTTTCTGTTTTTTTTTTGTTTTCTCCACTTGTACTTACGCTTAAAATTAAAGATATATTTTGTTAATATTAATAAATTCCGTTTATTGCTTTAACTTATTATTAGGATTTTAGAAATTATCACATTGTTAACTTATAAACATCACAGACCCGGCACAGCACGGAGATTGAATCTCAACTGATAACCACGAAAACACGATCGATCATCATGATTCAATAAAACACTCACTGACCGCGTTTAAACGCCTACAAATTGGCGGCTTCTAGTCGTTACGGCTGTAAAAATTTTATGACCGTACAGTCTTCCACAGCTTTTAAATTAATTGTTTGTTATTGATAAAAATTTTTCACAAACGCAATATTTTATTATTTACTAAAAATAACACAAGACACGAGAATTAGCAACAAATTTCACAACGCCAGTTCGTCAGCTTGAAATCTTGAAGCTTGAAAGCCTTTGAAATTTGCTTATTGTCAGCGCAGCAGCAAAGCAACAACAAAGGCACAGCAACTCTGCTTCAGAAGATGTATTTAAAAAAACAAAATAGAAAAATGTGAAGTGAAGGAAAAAAAAAAAGTAAAATCACTTTAAAAAAGCATTCTACAATAAACAAACACAACCGCGCGCTTGCGTTGTTCGCTAAAGACTTCAGGCCGAAGTGCCATCACAATACTGCTGCTGTCGCCGCCAACACTGGCAAGAAGCAGTAAACAGCACTTAACAAATCGTGCCGGCACGAACCTAATAACCCAACAAGCCGAAAGCAAAAGATAATTTAACAAACAAAACAATGTCGTCATAATCATTATTATCAACATAATCATCATCATCAATATCATCATCATCGTTGTCATCGTCATCGTCATCGTCATTTCAATCCAAGTCAAACCAAAAATACGACTTGCACAAAACATGATCGTATGCGTCGACAACGCCATCAAGCGACGACACATGCAGAATATGAAATCGAATACTAAAAAAATGCTTAAAACAACAACAACAAAATGTAAAAAAAAAAACAAATTACCAAAAAAATATTTCAAAAACTTAGTAAAATAAATACAAAGAGTAAAATATGTATGGCCTTTTTTTTAAAAAACTGTCATATACAAACAAACATTTGTTATGTAGGTACACATATATACACATATATTTACACTGTATGTATGCTTGTGTAAAAATATAAGTCATCAATTCTTCGTTAGTCTCATAACACCACTGCATTGTTGCCATCATATGCGTAGTATATGTGCTTGTGTTATTGTTGTTGTTGTTGTTGTTGTTGGTGTCGTTATTATAATTGTCCACACTTTATTTGACTTTGCTTTGACCCTCTTCTTTTCCAACACACATTGCTGAATAAATTTAAATGTTTATTTTAATAAATAAATTCGTAATGAAGCATTCAATAGAAGAGCCGAAGCTACGCTGATCCGGCTGCGCTAATTAAAGTGAGCTTTAGCCAAGCAACACTGATTAACTAAGAATTAAATAAACATTTTTGCCGTTGCTTACCCACCTTAGCTTAATCATTGCTGCTTTTCGATTATAAGTTCATTATACACAGCGAGAAATACTAACATAAACGATCGACGTTCTTTACTACAATTCTGGAGTTTTATAATTAATTATATTAATTGAGTATATTGGGTAAGTAACCATGATTTTTTGAGTACATTTTGTGACAAAAATTTTCATACAGAGGTTTTTTCAAATAGTAGTGAACTACAACAACAACAAAAGGTTCTTTTTTATATTTTTTTAATTAATTAAATACGTATGTAGCTGTTTCGAGTATTTCCAAATACCCATCATCAATGGTCTGGGAAATAATTTTTGTATTTAATTATTCGTAAATAATTTTTTGAAACTTCAACCATCAGAAATCAAACTCGTGCCCTGCCAAATTTGAAGCTAAGAGTTAGCGCTCCTTAACCAACTGACCCAAAGCCGTACTGGACTTTTATGTTCGCACATTTTTCTGGAGTTTTTATTAATTGGCTGTGAAAGTTTTATTAACAAAATCACTTGCTGTGTTTATATAAGAACGAAACCATAAACCAGCTGTAGAATAATTGAATTAATTAATTATATTTTTTATATTTATTTTTAATTGTTAAATTTCAATACTATTGTATTTGTAGAGGCATTATTTGTTGCATGATTTTTATATTCTTTCTTATGTATAGAAACTAATCTAGGAACGTAATACTGAGACAAAAATTTTCTTAATTGAAAATCAATTTTAATCAAGATACATACTATATATTGGCCATTAACATTTATAGATATCGTTCTGATCTAAAGTAAATTCTTATATTCTAAAGTAACTCTTACAGAGCAATTCTGGCAAAGATTGTTAAAAGTCTTTCGTGAGATCTTTGTAAAATGGACTGTAAGATTGTTTGTAATATTTTAGCTATTCTGGCGCAAAAGTTTTCCAAAAAAAGTTTTATCTTTGTAATTCTTACAACTCTTACAGGGCAATTCTGCAAAGCTTGTTAAAAGTCAGAAAGAAGAAAACTGTTTTGTTCTGTTTCTTTCGTGGTGAAATCAAAAATAACTGCTCTATAGTAGGTTCTTCATTTGATCTTGTGAAGGACCGTAAACAGCTTTCAGTGTTGCACAAGACCACTCCGAGAATACAAAAGATCTTTCAAACGATCTTTTGCAAGATTTTTAAGTGTGGTAAGCTGAAAGATCGTAGCTGAAATTGCATTGTTAATTTAATAATTACATTGTCTTACATTGTGTTTTTAACATTATTTTGCAGAAAAATTCTTTTATTAAATTCTTTTATTGAAAATCGAATTTAATCCAAAATGTGTTAGTCATTATTATTTATGACTACTGGGCATTTCTCCGGTAGCTTTACAATTCCATCGGTGTAGAATTCCATCGGTGGCCATAAGCCAAAAGTCAAATGAAAATGACTATTTCTGCTGCTCTTTTTTTGGTCAATTTTTTACCAATAAGCCAATAGAAGTTTAGCAATGAGCGAAAGAAATGGTAGTCAGCCGATTACATTGGATGTAACAAAACTTTTCAAGCAACTTCCACAAATTTGTTTAAAGCCATCAAAGACCTGGTGACATGGTATTGATACGTTTGGTACAATTCCTGTTACCCAATTCTGGTCGCTTTTCCTTGATTGTTCCATTCAAGCAGTCTAATTTAAGTGTTCAAATGTAGTCCAATAAATTATATCAAACAAAAAGTATTCAAGGCAGTATGTGTTTAGTACTAAGTCTACTATTTTACAATATGAATCGCTTTACATACTCTGAACGTATTAAAATTATAAAAACTTGCTACAGAAATGGTGGTTTGTAGTGGATATGTTTCGTATCGAATAAATAAAAAGTCACTGCATGATGTGGAATCTTGTCTTGGGGTGAAATAAGTACTATATTTGAAAATGGTAAAGATCTGACACAGGCCATCAGCGCTATTCGTTACAGTCCTAACTTATGATTGCGATTTTTTTTTCCTGATAAATTGAAGAATTAGAGGTGGATAATAGTCAAGTTATTTCAAACAGATAATGCTAGGAAGAATCTAACAAGACCTGTTTGTTGTGCAATAATTTCCCGGATGAAGAGTAAGATTATGCCATCAAAATTTGTCATCACTAAACTTTTTCGGTGGGGTTAAGCAAAAATAATGTTTATGTGGGTAAACTTTAAATTCTCAACGCCACGTGAACGACCATATATCAAGTAGTTGCGATGCTATTACAAACTATAAGCCGACAATTCATCAAAAATTATTTCAAAAGGATATAATTGATGATCCATGGAGAACATTTAAATGATGATATTTCACCATGTTTTACTTTTAATATTGAGGAGTACTGCGTTTCTCTCATCGAATTGGTTAGGCTTGGGAGTGTCTGGAAATAGCTGATTAAAATCAGTGGAATTCTTCGTTAGTCTCATAAGTGGAACTTATCCAGTATTACGACATCTGTGCTGACACGTTAAGAATACAAATACAAATATTTGCAGACCATTCTCTTACCGATCTGACGCAACTGTAGTTCTTTAAATTAAAGCTATTGGTGAGTTCATCGATTTATTAGATTCATTCCCTTTTACTTAAATGATAGGTTTGTGTCTTTTCAAAGGAATGGTTGTCGTAAGCTGACAACTTTGGTCTTTCACCTTTTTTGGTAGTTCTAAATTCTAATGTGCGAATAACATTTGTTCGCGGTGACACCATGGGCCATTACTTGAGCTAAAGTGAACTTCGATGCTTAAAACATTGAATTTTCTTAGGTTCTGTATACCGATTTTGATAGAAGTATTGTTTAGTGTATTTCTGTTTTATGTTTTAATTTCTTTGGTTGTGTCTCTTTATAATATATTTTCCATACGAGAGTTATGAGACCTATACAACCAAGAGTAGCGTTAATTGTAACAACCAGTCATTTAAATCGTTTATATTCGTATTGTTTTACATTCATGTTAATTTTTATGAGATAATAATCATGTGATTTTTTCTCAGCTGCCTGGTTTCAATGACTGTTGACTGTCTGTAGCAGTACTTATACTTTTAAATATGATTTCTTACTCTTAAGACAATAAAGTTTCCTATCTATTTTGTTGGTTAATTGACAAATATTGTTGATCGATTATTTCCATCTTTCTTGTTTATCATCGTTTCTACTATATAAAGCGGGGAAGTGTAAGCAATATATTTTCATATATATTAGTGAGACATATATTGTTACAATAATAACTGGAGAGTTTTCAAACAGTAGTGAACTACAACAACAAAAATTGTTTGAATATTTTTATTAATTAAATTTTTGACTGACCATACATTTTTTTTTGCAGTAGGTGGAAAGCATCGAAAGCCACAGTGTGAGGCTTGAACTCACTAAAATCATCTCTTAGGAACGAATGGAGAAGATTTCCACAGCAATATGGAAACTTCATTCCAGTAATCAAGGGAGAGAGATGAGAGTAGATAGACTTTATACCTAGTGAACTAGATTCATCTAAGCCAGAAAGCAAAGGCTTGAATTAAGTGACCATACATGGGTGCCTGCTGACCATACAGCTGTTTCGAGTACTGCCAAATAGCCATCATAAGTGGTGTTTTGGAATTATTTTTTATATATAATAATTCATAAATAATTTTTTGTCACTGCAAGTACTAATTTAAAAAAATTTTTTTGTTGTAGTTTACAACGATTTGAAATCTCTCTATTAAATACAATAGTCTCTATTAAGTGAAATAGTAGTAGAAATAGAAACTTCTCCAGTCATTTACTAGAATGTATAGATTAATTTAATTTATATTAAATAAAGTAAATCGATTTTTAAGTTCAGCATATTTGCCACAGCCGACCGAAGCATTAGTAATCTTTATTGAGCTTGTATAATCAATGAAAAAGTTCAAATACTCACTGCCAATAGAGGACGAGTCCAGTTTTTACTTTTGAAATTAATGTAATAATTTTCAACTCAGAAGCAAAATATCTGGATAACCAAGTTATATCAGTATTAAATTAGGTTAAATAAGCTACTTAGAACAGCTCATATTATCACCACCCATTGTCAAATTGCGTCACCTAGAAAACTGTAATGGAACCAAAATTGTATATAAAATTACTATATTCACAGTAGGGAACGCTCTATATCTCACTTCTCACTTAAATGCCAACAGAGTAATGGATAAAGAATTGTACAAATTAAGACTAGGAAAAAAAATACCTTTAAGTCTGGTTAAAAGAAGTTGGCAGCACTTTTAAAATATGTTGAATGCTTTTGTTTGGCATATGTTTTTTGTTGTGTGATGTAGAATATGATATGATGCAAACGACTTGAATTTTGAAACATATTTTCAGAGAACATTAACAATAGACTGATTTTTGAATTTGGCCGCACTAAAACTTAAGTCTTAAATTTTTTTGCGAGAAAAGCCTAACATTGAGGACTTTAAGAGCATTGTTGTTGCTTCACCTGTTTTCTTTCGTACGTTTGAGAGTGTTCTTTTGTTACTCTGAAAGAAAAAAATTACTGTTATAATAGATAGATATATAATTCCACAAGACCGGATTATATTTTTGATATAAGTTCTTAGAAGTTTATGTAGAATCACAAAATATTGGAGCTCTATATGTAGTTAGCACTGGAATTGTCTTTGGAAAAGCCAAATTAACTTATTATATTTGGAATATGTGATAATATTTACATTATGTTGTTAATGTTATTAATTATTAAATATTTAAATATTGTTTATCGACATATAGGAAAGATCGTATGATGGACAGACGGACTCTCCAATAATCAATATCAATTTGTAATACTGAGTAATTTTAAAACAAAACAAATATTTAAGACGACTTATTTAATAAAAACTTAACAACTTTAATATAAAAATAAATGTCTTTATTAGATTATTATTTTCTAATCTATTATATTGTAATATTTAAGATCACTGTTTTTTGTGTCTTTAGAAACGTTATTTTTAAAGAACCCTAAAAGTATGCAGTATTTTTAAAACATGGTTAAGACATCTTAAAATGAAGAAGTGACCTTGACGCTAGTGAAAAGAATCGTTTTTATATATTCAAATGATTCACATTATCTTATCACATTATTATTTCAGTTTTTCAATAGTTACCGTACCACTCTGATCGCTAAAATATGTATCTTTTATGTAAAATGTGATGCATGTGAATGTAAAATCAACAATCCAAATGTGTTTGCTGTTCGTTGTTTTGGACTTATTCCCTTAAGTGGGTAGAAAGTAAAAAGTTTGGAACCATCACAACAGGTGATCTTAGTTCTCTGTTTCTTGCGGTTCAGAAATTGTATCTGGTACAAGTTTATAATGTCATATGCGATATGGATCATTCTATTATCTCGCTGAAGCAATATGTTTCCAATATCTGCTCGCGCAAGTCGAAAGAGAAAGCCTTTAGAAAGTCATTGCTCTGTAGTTATACGTATTGATTATAAAATTTTAAATAAATGTAGACCATAAAGTGGACATTTTTGTAAATGTGAGTACCTCAAAATCTGTAAAATTGTGTGTTTAGAATAAAAAAAGGAGTAATGAGGTTTGAGTAAAAGTAAAATTGTAAGATACTCTCACTTTTCTATGGCTATTCCATAAAATATTACAAAAATACACAAAATCATTCTAAATGACGATAAAGTGATATTTAAACTAAAAGCTAACTCCACAGAGGTATAGAAAAGCAGTGTTTGTGATGTTTTTTGTGAACATTTCATATTGCGAAAAGCTGTTTAAAAACTTTGTCTCAATGAGGTCCCCCAGCAGACTATAATGCATTGATGATTTTGAACCCTATTTGGAACTATTTAAGCGTAATAAATAAGATATATTCAGTGCGTAATAATGGATGAAACATTGATTTATAAATATACTTCAAAGTTAAATAGGCAATCGGATGGGTGGACGAAAGTCACGCATAGAGAGCAAAAATACAAATGTGACGTAGTAAAGTATTAGATTTCATTTTTTAAAATACATACGATATAATATTTTTGGACTATGTTGATGAGCAATGCATTCTGTATACGGTACTACTGGAAAAACTTTCCTAAATTAAAAAGAGGGAAGTAGTTTTTAACAAGAACAATGTTGTAATCATAGGCTGGAAGGCTTAATAGCATCAATTAAAGTCTGAATTACTTCCAAGTATACCTTGGAAGCATAGTTGGTTCCACAAGAAAAAGTTAGAGAAGCGTTAGAATAAAAGTACAAATTTTGCTTTTAATATAGACCGTGTTGCCAAATATGGCAAAATTTCGGATAATAGAATTTATTTCGTACAGCATTTCACAAACTTGTTATGTAATATGTTGATTAAGCCCTTAGTAAGAAAAAATCGGTTTAGAAGGAACTTTAGTGAACCAAGCTTATTTATAAAGTGCTGTAGCACAAATTGAAGCTTACTTGTTACCGTTTATTCAAATATCAACATTTTCAAACATTTATTGTATTAAGAACGAGACATGTGACATAAGCTATCACAACATCACTTGCGAATAGGGCAGCTCTTTAAGCTAATCTAAAGGTCTATAGGCTAAATTGTCAATGATGGTCATGTGGTTATAACCACTAACTAATACACTAACAAATAAATGAGTTCTCGACATAAAACATGGAGCGAGTATATTACAAGTTTGATTTTAATATAAAGACATTCGGTCTATGGAACCATGCAGAGACTTGACCCAATAGCTTATGAAGCTAGCATGTGGCGCATGCGAAGACCAAAACCCTTTCCATCATATAGTTTAAATAATATTTTTTCGAGTTTATAGTTGTATAAATAATAGATTCCTTTTATTTATAATTTCTTTTCAGTTGGCAGATAGTAATTTAATGCTTAATGTTTTGTGTAGAAGGAAACACAGTAAACAGGTCGTGAAGGTATATTGTACTCTGAACCTCATTTCAAATTATTAAAACAAATGTTCGGTTAGTTTTGCGGCAGTGTAGATTTTATGGAAGAAGTAAGGAGCTGAAACTTTAGCTACATACAACATCTAACTCGAGAAATCTATATCTGCTAAACAAGGCTAAACAAAAGCGTAGAAAATATTCCATGATGTTATCGTCCTTCAAGCAAACCGACATAAGCTCTTATCAGCGAGGGCAAAATGAAAGCGACGTTTGACGCAAGTAGTCTAATCAGCAATCGCACCAATTGCTTTTTATCATTGTGCTAAAGTAGAGGACATTTGCATTTTCGGTGGATGGACCAGATGACCAACGATATGAAGATACTCGGTACTATTAATCTGCGATAGCAAGCCACTGATAGGGCTGGCTGGGTCGGAGACTACAGAGTACGGTCAATGACGATTTAAATCTGTAACGACTAACTAAATAAGTAAGTAATTGTGCTACGTCCAATGGATACAAAGTGATCAACCTATTAGAACGTTATTATTTGCGCATCTAGCAGTGATTATTTATATATAATTAAATAAACTTCGATACGTAAAAGTATTTCATCTTAATTAAGAATTAATGTTATAATGACTAGCAATTTGATTTTAATACGCTGGCTAAGGTTTCATTTGAAACACAATTTTATTTTAATTTATATTAACTTTAAATTTAATTTTTATTAATTTTTATTATTAGCATCAAAGATCATTACAAGTTGAATAGTTCAAACAATATTAATTGCCATACCTTACGAGTTAGGTCTGAAATCTAACATAAGTTTCATTCAAGTCAAACAAAAACGGAACTAATAAACTGTTGATGCTTTTGACCCCATACCATCAAGAAGAATTGTGTTATCCAAAAATTTTTGTGACGAGCATAAATCCAAACTTAAGTAACTTTTTTGTCAATTATCTCTCAATTTAGAGTTTACCTAAATGGAAACAAATAGTGTCTGGTTACTACGTATATACAGAAATAGCATCGTCATTATGTGATATGGTATTATATGTGCACAACTTTACAAAGCATTTCTCAAGTTATGTCAAAAAGAAATTAATGATATTATCGTCTATTATTGTAAAAGCGGAAGACAGCGCACTCCAAACACAAGGGAATTTATTTTTGAGAAAAAAATTTAAATTAAATTAAAAATGTTTCAATTATTCGATATATGGTAAGCATTTTTATAACAAAAACAATTAAGCCTATTATCAATATTTATCAAAATCTATGGCAATTATCGGAAAGGTTAAACTGAAGCAGACATCCTAGTGAATATATTTTGTATAAAAACAAATTAAATTTAACATAAATTAAACATTTGCAGTTTGAAATTTGCACTTCAAACAAGTACTAGAAAAATACGCATTTACCATAAATCGACTTTAGAAGAGATATTCTCAAACGAAACTTTTGCATTATGCTCTTCAAGGTAATTATTCTAGTTAAAAATTGTGTCCAATCTATAGTTTAAAAAAATTCTTTGCAGTTTATGGCGATTGCATGTCTCTTTACCATAGCTACAGCTGGTGATTATGAATACAATCGACCAAACCCAACTGCAACACCAGCAAGGACAACAAGTAATAATAATAATAATAATGCCAGAGCAAGTAACATCCCCTACGTCAACTCCATTGACAACAACTTCAACGATAGGACTATAAATAATGCCCAGTCCGTACCGTATGCATTCGATTCACATCCAAGACAATTTCAAGTGCCAGCTAATACACAAACATCCGCAGCACCTACGCCTAGTTCAGTTTATTACCCACCTGCACCCGCTAAATACGAATATAGTTACAGTGTGAATGATGAGAGTACCGGCGATATTAAATCTCACAAAGAAACACGTGACGGATATCTTGTACGTGGGGTGTACAGTCTTATTGATCCTGATGGCTTCAAACGTACCGTCACCTATACAGCTGATGATGTACATGGCTTTAATGCAGTCGTTAATCGCGAGCCTTCAAATGTGAGAATACCAACACCACCTCTATTAAAATTTCAAGCACCTGCACCATTTTCACCAGCACCATTCTCACCACAGCCGCGTGTAGCACAACAACAACAACAAATACAAACAGAAAAGCAAAAACAGTCTATTTCACCACAAAGTAATACGCCGGTACGTGAACCAACACGTATAGAACTAACCATAGAACCAAGTGATAGCTATTCAGTGCCGTCGCAGCAAGACTCGGAGGGCGGTTCATATGCCTAAATAACTACTTAAGCTTTTCCTTTCACTCTAATAGTTTATAAATTAATTTAAAATATGTTAATTATATAATTAAAAAATATAATTTTATTGTATTTAATTGAATAAATAAAGCCACTATATGTATATAAAAGTTGCCATAAAATCCGAGAGTTTAGAATACAGTTCACCTTTACAACTTTCATGCGTAAGTATTATGCAATGGGGGCATTGAGATCGTGCTCCACCAGTGTGCTCCACCAGTGTGCTCAATGTCATGCTTCACTCGTTACCTATTGACGTCTATACCATACAAGTAGCTACTTTTAACGTACAAAAGTTTAAAGACTTAAACCGTTAGCGCTCAATTGCGTTTGGATATGGCAACATTTCATCAATCTATCCGATGGATGCGAAAAGTGAATCAAACTACCTATGTCCTCGCTTACACTTTGGCAGTAGGAAGGATAGCGATCTATACCGACGGGTCTAAGATGGATAAAGGCGCTGGAGCCGGAGTAAATCCTACCATCTCTTCAAATTTACCTCAATACTTCAGGCAAAAATCTTCGCCATCCTTAGGGTATTTTCTCTTACTTTAAACATGAATTTTCACTGAAAACAAATCTATATTCTTGCCAACAGTCAGGCAGCAAGAATAGGAGTGCATGGAGCTACACTCGGCCTACCCTGTGGTATCTACTGCAACGCATGCCTACCAACTCTCGAAGAAAGGACACCAGAACACCTGTTGTGTCCATGTCCAGGGTTGATTAGAACTAGATTTAGATTTTTGGGGGCCGCATTCTTTAACACACTCGGCAATATCTTCAGTATTAGCATTGGCCAGACTCTGGGTTAAGTCTATTTGTTGCGATTTTTTGCGTAATGTGTTTGAGACATCCATGATTTTTAATAGTAGCAGAAGTAGATTTATTAGGCAAAATCAAATACCTTTTGTGCTTTTTCCTAGTTTAAGAATCAAAAATTTGTGTAATATTTTGCCTTGTGGTAATTAAAGCTTTTTATAATTCAGATGTTTAATAAATGGGTGAGAAAAATAATTCATTTCAGTGATAATTGCTGTAATACCACGGCTGTGGTAAGTCTCAATTCATTAATAAAAATTTTAATTAGACAACACTTCATCAATTATATTTATGAATAATTCTGATGTGGCAACTCCCCACGTCACAATTTATGACGTTCCTTCGTCGTAATTTTGACGATTAAAACATTTGTTTTTGGGGTTTTTACATTTCTTAAGGTACAGTTAACGTTGTTGCCATAACAACTCTCAATGTTCCAATATAAATCGTTCCTTCATCTTCATTTTGACAATTATACCATTCGTTTTTAGTGACTCAAGCTTAACGAAGATAAAAAAATCCATTGCTTCAACCAAACGCGAATATATGTCAGTTAATTTTAATATTAATTAATAAAACAGTTCAGATTTTATATATAGAAACAATGGATTTATTTTTTAACAACAAATGTCAATACAGCGGTTGTGGTGAAAAGTTTGGTAGTCTGACTGAATTGATTCAGCATGTAGAGCGTGTCCATATTGTAATGGATGACAGTGATGAAGTCTCTGGAAGTGAAAGCATGGTACACAAAAGCAAAATATTGCCTAGCAATGTCCATGATGTGATTATGCGTAAGTGTACTGCGTTTCGATTTTAATCTACTTCGAAATTTACATTTTTCTCTGATTTAATCTATAGGTTCTCCGGTTCATCGAATCAATCATGGATCACGCCGTCACCCATCAGTATCTCCACTAAACAACATTAATTGTGAACGTCCAATTCAGATGATGAAAGCAACTGGTGCTGCTTCCTCATTGCAGTCCATGTTGGCTAATGCTGATTCTGGTACTAGAGCAAGTGCTCCAACAACTTCTGTTAATCAAAATAATTGTGAGCCTCCAATTCAGTTGTTGAGTGCAATTGGAAGTGATGGTTCTGCTTCGTCATTGCAGTTCATGTTAGCACCTACTATTGTTATCAGTAGCGCAAATGCACCGTTTCAGGTACCAATGGCTTTCACAAACAGCAACAATTGTGTACCACCAATTCAGTCTGTCGTTGCACAAGCAAAGCACGGTGCAATTCCCAAAGCGCGGATACATTCAATGGAACTAGGTGGTAATCGTGATGCTGATTCATTTGAGAAGGATAACATTCCATCATCATCATCGGCGGTAAAGCGAAAAAATAACAGTTCTAAAATCTCATTCTCAAAGAAGAGAATCTCATCTATTAACAGTAATGTTGAGCCATCTATGTCAAAGTCAAATGATGTTCCAACACAACCAACCTCTATATCATCTCCTCCAAAACTTAACGAAAGTACCCATATTGCCTTAAGTGGTTTGACCCCGGAAGACATTGTCCAAAACTCGGTTCTAAGGGCAGATCACTCGCAATTAAAGCCATTTCCTTGTCCCATTCGTGGTTGCATAAAAAGGTATAAAACTTTGAACGGGATTAAGTATCACTCAAAATCTTATGAAAGGGAGTTGAAAAAAATTCGGTTGAGTATAAATCGGATTAATAACTACGGCTTGCAACAAACAACAACACCTTGGAGAGATCTCGAAGAAAAAATGGAACATGTAAAAATGTTTTTTTAGTTGACTTATGTTTGCGTTATTATATAACATATTATATATATAATAAGATATTGTAATATTGTTCAACTGAAGCTATGTTCGGTTAAGTAATTTTTCCTTCATTTTTTGAAAGTAATGTATATAAATAAATAGATTTTTTAAATAAAATTCAGTGAGCATTTGTATTTACAAACTGAATAAAAACTGATGCGATCAGATATTATGTATGGATTCTTTTTAATAGTGTTTGTCTGATAAAGGCTTGAAACTTATAAGAAATATTAGTATCAGTCAATAAGTTTGTGTGATTTTGTTGAAAAACTTTGTAGGCGGTTGATGGATGATAACAGACAATGGATGATAACAGTATTACGATGCCTGATAGTGGAAAATTCTAAGAAGAAAATGTTTATCAGTTAATGAGGTAATTGATGTAATTGATGTACCAGAACCAAATTCAGAAAAATGTCAGTTTTGAGTTACATAGGGTTTTCCTCAAAAAGAATCGCACATTTTTCAAAAATACCAAAATTGAACCCACGTGAAAACATTTTTAAAAAACCCCTTCGTAATTGTTAGAAGTGATCAATGGATTGTAGGAACTAGGGAGTTAATAAAACTAATGTTATCATGAAAGGTTTTAATAAAAAAATAAAAACAACGAAAAAGTGTCGCCAGTTCAGTTGTTCAAGTTGTAGAACGGGTTTGGTTATTGTAGCACTCAGCATAGTTGCCTTAATCACTTAACCCTTTATTAGTCTGTTGTGAAATTAGTTCTTAATACGGAACATTTACCGTTTTTACTTATGCAATCATTTCAAAAAAGCTAAAAGCATAATTGCTTAGTAAAATTCCATTAGCAAATTTCGATCCATTAGCTCAAACAATAAACATGGGCAGTTATTTGCTTAACATCTGCTGATCTCTTCAGTTTGAGTGATATACTCCTATAAGGATAAGATTTACCACTCTTTCTTCTTAGTCTATGAAATTTGGAAGAATTTTGTTTTTTACTTATTATTATAATTGTTATTATTATAACAATAGTTATATTTTCCAGGACTTTTGCTTAATTTTAGTAATGGTTTTAAAATTTTTTTTATCCATTTTGACTTGTGCATTCGTCTTGTCTATTTTTTTTTTTTTTTGGTGCTGTTAGCTTGCAGAAAGATACATATTATATTATGTTTTGTACGTGTCGTTGCACGCTTTTGCTTTCAAAATACAAATAGAAAGTAAAGAATTGTATGAAATAAATGAAGATAGTTTAACTTCACTAAGATTGTGATATATTTTGGTATAGACCGAAATGCGGTAATTTTATTAAAAAATAATGCCTCTACAAACAGAATAGTATTGAAATTTAACAAAAAATATAAAATATAATTAATTAATTGAATCACTCTACAGCTGGTTTATGATTTCGTTCTAATATAAATACAGCAAGTGAATTTGTTAATAAAACGCAATCACAGCAAATTAACAAACAAAACTTTAGAAAAATGTGCGAACATAAAAGTCAAGTACGGCTTTCGGTCAGTTGTTTAAGGAGCGCTGACTCTGAGCTTCAAATTTGGCAGAACACGAGTTCGATTCCTGGTACTTGCAGTTTTAAAAAAATTATTTACGAATAATTAAATATAAGAAATAATTCCAAGACCACTGATGATGGGTATTTGGAATATTCGAAACAGCTGTATGGTCAGCCAAAAATTTAATTAATTAAAACAATATAAAAATGAATTTTTGTTGTTGTACTTCAGGTTATTTAGTTTATAAATGCCATAGAGAATTGGAAATTATTTTCCAATCTCTATCACAGATTAGATAGCTGTACTACTACTCATATTATTCCAGGAAAGAATGGGTTAGCGCTTTTACAGGGACCTGTACTGTTCCCAAAGAAAATTCGTAAAGAAAGCAATCAAAAAACAACATGTTCACACTTGGGAACTGTCTAGCCAAAACGGGATATAAAATATCATACTCTTCTTTTAATGCTTAAGAATAAAATATCAATCCTTATATGCGAGATAATATCACCGGATATTATCTAACATGTCGACACACCTCAAGAATAGGTGATAGACTATTGGAAAAACTCCGGCGATAAAAAAAACAAAAACACATATAAAACTGTCTAGACTATTACAAAAAAATTATTTCTGCTTAAGATTTTTACAAAATGTACATATCAATTATGTTTAAGTAATGCGGAAAAATTTTCATGTCCATTCTATTACTATTTTGATAAGCCTTGATTTAAAAGTCGAGATACTGGAGATAAAAAAAATGGTTAAGAGATCTGAACTTTCTTAATTTAAAATTCGTTAAAACTAATTATCTCACCTTCTCTGCAAAAATAAAGAAATACCACTAATTTAAAGTTCCAAGTTTAAAGTTATTATCCAGGAGTTGATGTATAACGCTGTGACTTTCTTACTTCAGAATATTAAGTTATTATTCTAAAGGTGATGTATGAGAACATAATTTCTGCAATTTCATATGACGATATAGTTATCGTAGTTTCAAGTAATAAATTATTATTATTATTTTTTTTATTTTTATTTTATTTTTATTTTAGAGTGTTTTTCAAAGTCCGACTTCTTTAATGAAAGACAGTATAAGGCCTATCTTTCCTAGTCTTGATCCTTATGATCCATGAAATACTATCCTTGGTGTTTATTCCGCTTGTTCATTAGTGACGGACACTCCCCTAGAGCACATGGTATGCTCTCTGTTCTCTACAGTATCTGCAGTCTGAGTTAGATTAAATTCCTGACTTCGATAGGTGATTATTCAATCTACAGTGACCGGTCAATAATCCCGTAACAATTCTTAGAAGTAATAAGTCATTAGTTAGAAATTTATGTATGACTTCTTCGCTTTCAAAGCTTCATATAATAAGTTATTAATAAGAAGAAGATGTACCTTCTCTCGTTCCAAGTAATAAGGTATTATGCAAGACGCTGTGGCTTCCCTACTTCGAAGTAATTAGTTGTTATTTAAAACGTGATGTATAACTACACAGTTTCCTCAGTTTTAAGTTATTAACCAGGAGTTGATGTATGACTCTCGGACTTCTCTAGTTGAGAGTTACAATGTATTTTTGAGTAGAAGTCAATCTTCTTTGAGTATTTTCTTGTTGCGGTATTTACTGCCAATGGCACCGATAGAAATGAATTGAATTTGCAGCACCATAACGCGAAAACTAAATAATAACAACGTTTCAAGTAACAAGTGGGATAGGCGCTAATTGAGAGAAACAATGTTTGCGTGACTGTCAAAAAACAGTGTTGCCCAACTGTTGCAAAAAATATTTATGAAGCACCTGTGAAGCTTTGCAGCAAATGTTGACTTTGTATTGTTTTAAGCTTTTTTTCATGACTTTGTTTACAACAATTGTTTAAAAAAACGCACCCAACATTAAAATGAAAATATTAATAAAAATTCAAAATAAAAAAAGTATAAAAATTAAAAAAAAATACAGAAAAAAACCGGTAGAACTTAGGAGCGCAGCGCCGCTTACTCATTAGCCCAACGGCTTCAGTGTGTACCGTCAACGCCAACAACAGCTGTTGACTTGTTGTTATTATAAATGTTTTGGTTGTTGATGCTGTGATGGTTGCTGAAGCTGTTGTTGCTGTTGTTGCTGCTGTTGTTGTTTTTGTTGTTGTTAAAGTCTTCTTTAGCAAAGTCTAAGCGAGCATATTTCAGTCTTCGGTAGAAACTCAAACACAGTCTTCTGTAGACTAGCAATGGAAGCGCTTAAACGTTTAGGCCGAAATCGTGTGACGCGTTTAAATGAATTTGGCCTCACCAAAGGTTAGCATTATTAACGCCGTAGTCCTGGCGAAGTGAATTTGTTGACTTGTGTATCTAAGTGTTTATATCCTTTTTGACCAATTTTTTTTTTCTTTACGTTTGAATAAATTTCAGCAACAAATCGTCGTAACTATGCACATTTACACACTTTAATCGGTTTTGTGCTCGGTTTTTTGATGGCATTTGCCACTTTACTGTTCTATGACCGCCAGTTGTTATCATGCGAACAAATCGAGCACCACAGCATTTCCACAGAACATTTTTATGATTATTTTGTGAGCAGCGGCTTTGCCGTGAGCAGTAGTAGTAGTGGCGGTAGCAGTGGCAGTGAAAATCTCATCCGTGACAATGAATTTTTAATCACTTCAACACAGTCAACACAAGGTTCAGCAAGTACAGCCGCATCCGGTAGTGAAAATGTTGTGGATTTTGCTGAAATAGACCTGCATCAACATTTAGAGAGCGAGGTGCGCGTGCTGTGTATGGTGCTGACCTGCCCTAAGTACCACAGCAGCCGGGCGGCACATGTGAAGGCTACTTGGGGTCAACGTTGCACGAAACTAATATTCGTAAGTAGTGTTCCTGATGAGGAATTGGGTGTAGTGAATGTCATCGATGAAGAAGCGGATACTTATCATGATTTATGGAATAAAACGCGTGAAGGATTTCGTTATGTACACGAGCATTTTTTAGATGATTATGACTGGTTCCTAAAAGCGGATGACGATACGTGAGTGAGTTGAAAATTAAATGCTTTGTTATGTTATATAGATTATGGTTTTCTAATAGAAAATTAGGTTCTTATATATCAAGTGAGTTAGAATACGATATATAATAGCAACAGATGTGTAGAACGATTAAAATATAATGTCTTTTGATATGTTTAATAATCAAAATTCTATAATAATAAGTTTATTATTAAATATAGTTTTTTATTTCAAGTGAGTAAGAATAGGTTGTCTTAGAATAAATGTGCAGAGTGAACAGAATATATTGGTAGTGCAAAAAAAGTGAATATTACAAAATGAGTGATTAGTTTGCATACGATACTTGTTGTATTGAAATTATGAATAATACAAAAAAATAATATATTGTTTAGAGTGTATAAATATATTATATTTAATCCTTTAATTCATAGGATCGCAACAAATATCTTCCACTCGGTACGATTAGTAGCCAATGGCTTCAACTCTCCCCAGCTTTTCCGCATGTGTAACATTACTATGTCGATTTGCCTTCTCTAGGTGTGAGCAGGTCTGCCCCTTCTTCCGCTATCCATCGGGTTCCACTCAATCGCCATTTTTATGTTGTCACCAATCGGTCTACCCAAAGTGTGGCCGACCCATTCCCATTTGCGTTTTATGATTTCGTTTCTTATAGGAGTTTGTTGAGTTAAAGACCACAGACGTTCATTTGAAATTGTATTTGGCCAGAATTCTTTACCGATTATGCGTAATGATTAAGTTATAAAAACTTGTAGTGCATTGTCGCTGTTTGCCGCTGTAAAAATATAATTAACTTATAAGAATTCGAAAAACATCACAATTCAATCTGTCAATATTAATAAATCTTATCACATAAATGTTGACCATATTCATTAATATGACTAATATTTATCATTTTAATATTAATATGAATATAAAGCGTCTGAATTAAACTTAAAACATTCATAATGCTGTACCTTTTTATTTGATATAGAATTTTATTAAACTAAGAAAAAAAGGAATACTAGGTCTACATGGAGTCCGACATATAGATTCACTTTTTAAACTAACCTAACTAAACAAAAGAATTTTTTTTTTATATTCGATTGTAATAGTAAGTTGCAGAAATAAGAATCTACAGATCCATATTCATTCAGAAAGAAAGCATTTTTTAACACATTAACATTCTGCTTTTTTTTATTGATAATCTATCCTAACCTATCCACGTGCAGAAGTCTCGTAACTACTAATCCTAGAAGTCACTGCACAGTCTGTATGGAATATAGAATGTTGTCTCTTAACCATCATATATTAGCGCATGTCTTATGTGACAGTATAGATCTATGTTAAACTGCATATTCGTGACAAAATTCAGTAAAATCCCTTGTCGGCAGTGACTTCAGAGCACTTTATAAACTTTTACACGAATAGTATTCACACAAGGGAGAGCAATCATTGATCATTTCCAGCCTTATCCATTCCAAACGAACATCATGAATATGAATGAATATCAACATTTGCTTAGGACCTCTCTGCTATCTGTTAACTAAACTTACTGACTTCATTTGGTAATAAATTACTCAATTAAAAGTAGTTGGCATCATTCGAACATAACGTTTTGTTTGACCATCAATGAAATCTAATACTTTTTGGAAGGCTTAAAACCTTCATTTTGAGTTCCCAGTTGTATATACATTGCATGCTTGTTTTTATTGGAGTTGTATAAAATAGAATATATCTACATTCTATGTTGCCATAATCGCGTTTCCTACAAATTCGATTTTCTATTGGTGTGGGATCAATTATTTTCTACAATATTCTTCCTTTAAACGATCGTAGTTCGTTTATATGTGCGCCTCTAACTAACCATATCAGGTTAGAATTATATTAGGTTGTTTTATGTTCGTTTTATGTCATCATAAGATATTTGTGACTTAATACCATATCATACTAAAAGCTCTCAATTAAAAACATTTTTGTTAATACCAATATTATTTGACCATTGACCATATTAACATTGTTTTTTCCTAGTATATTTCAATTGAAAAAGTTTTCGCTGCTCTACATAGATCTTTTTATACTCCTTGTTCAAGAATGAATATGACAAAATATATATTAGACACAGAAATAGATTATATAGAACATCAATTTACATCTACTAATAGTGTATAAGATCTCCGTTATTATTTAAATAAGATCCATTAATTGTTTTTTATTATTTATTTTTTATAATTGCTCTTCCATCGATATCACTAACTATATCATAAAGCACCAAATTAAATGTTAAGGCAGAGGACCCATCATCTTATGCCTGATAGGACATAGAATGGTTTAAATAGTGTGGATGATATAAATCCTAACTATTTACGATGAATTCTCAATTTAATCGAATAGGTGATGTAATCCCTTTCTATTTGATAGGAATACAATTCAATTTGTGACACTTTCCGAAGTGGTGTGTTGTCATAAATTCTCCTCGATTCAGAACTGTTCTATTTTGCTCAATATCTCATTGACAGTTTCTGTGAATTTCCTTCGGATATTATTTTGTATTACTTAATATTATATGTTTTCAATTAAGTAAATTAAGTAAATCTTTCTTCGTTTTCTTAAAAACTCGACTAATATTTATGTTGCACACAAACAAGTAATGTGTATCATTACTAATTACTTTTTAAGACTCTGATCTGGTATTGTTACTAATTTATCGGTCTATACTTAGTCTCTTTCAGTGAGATTTATCCACCTACATAAGTAGTGAATATACGTTTATTGATAATTACTGGCTTTTTGCATACCACTTTTTTGGGTATGAGTATTATAAGACGACAAGCGGGACGTTCTTCCAGTAAAGTTCATACCTGCTATCTTTGTATTACTAAATATATAACAAATTCAATATATCTTTTTCCTACGAATTTGAACAACTCTTCTATTGTTGTTTATAGAACACCCTTCCTTTTTCAGCTTTTGATATTCTTTAAAAATTTTAGCGTATGAAGACTCTTCTTAAGAGTTTACTACAGCATAAATAATCTCTACCATCAAGTCATTAAAGATTCAGCATTCTCTTTTCATCATTGATTTGCAATAGTTTCAAATAGGAAACAGAAATATGGACAAAACATACATCAATAACCAGTCAATCTGTCAAATGTCATATGTCAAATAAAAAAGAATTGCCAGGCGTAACTAAACGTTTTAAAATTATTGCAAAAAAAAAAAACTGAGTAAAAAAAAAACTGAAAACTGAAAAACACAAACATAAATTATTTTAACTTAAATTTTGTTTTTACAGTATTTTTTATCATTTACTGACTTTTACTACATTTACCAATCCATTTAAATTTCTAGAAGATTTTTTAAAAGAATGCTGCCACATTTTAAAATATTATTTTCTTTCAGTTATGTTATCATGGAAAATTTGCGATACATGCTCTATGCTTATAGCCCTGACATGCCCATTTACTTTGGCTACAAGCTCATCCGATACAAACTTGTAAGTATTCAACTATTATCTAAGATTTGGTATGTTATTTTTTAGCTAGTAGCAAAAGAACAGCATTATACTATTTTAAGAAATAGGATGTTTTTTTTTTTTTGTTGTTTTGATTATGGGACGTGTAGTTATCCTCATAGTAGTAAAAAAAGATTGTGCGAATCAGAATGTTTTATTAATTTCTAATCGTCTACAAAATACCAAAACACCAACCTAGTTCGCAGTAAATGTTATAGTCACATCCATAAAGTAGATTACATACAACTTCTTCTATTATAATAATAAATAAAAATGAAAGATTCTAAAGAGTGGTCTATTATCAGTACAGAGAACACAAGAGTACAGAAACCTATTCTTCTTCTTCTTCTTCTTGAGTTAGTGCTATTACGCACTTTTACTCTATAATGGCTGGGGGGCTTATCTCTACCCCACACTAGGCTTTAACTAGGCTAAAAAATCATATCATTTATTTGTCTTTTAGTTGATGACGGACCTTAAATCAGCATATCTCCCTGAGAGTCCAGAAGTGGACTTGAGGATTGTTAGGGCGGGGTTAAGTAGCATATCAACTTTAGTGAATAATTTTAAAGCTCTGTCTTTGATATATTTTTTCACTGAGTCAATCCTAAGATCTCTATGTATGTCCGTTGATCTAATGTACCATGGAATCTTAAACAGTTTTCTTAAAGCCAGGTTTTGAGCTATCTGTAATTGCTTTAAGGTGGTTTTTGAGGCTTTGCTATATGTAACACATCCGTACAGAAGTGCAGGTCTAATTACTTGCGTATAAAGTAACTTTCTGTTTTTAAAGTTGAAGTGATAATTATTAAATAGCGGCTTTAGTAAATGTAGATGTCAAAAAAAAAAAAAAATATGTAAAATAATAAAATATATAAAAAAGAAAACAATATATAGAACTATTTCAAATTTTTTTTCTCCTTTTGATATTGATTCATGATTCTTAATTTTTTGATTCTTATTAAAATGTAATTTAATAATCTATTCATTTCTGTCCACTTTTTTATATAAATTTGTCATTTTATAATAAATTATAACACGAATAATCTTAGTTTTCAGCTTAGTGAGTGTTTATAGTTTATTGAAGTATGCTAGTAATTTAACATAACCCCAAAGAAGTTATGTCGAATAATTAATTCTTTGTCAGCATTACTGGAGATTACACAGTCATTGTTTTCCTAGATATACGTCAGGTTGCATCAAATAGTTGACCTCATATATACGAGAACCATCTTTAATTCATGCCACAAAAATTAGTAACCATGTTATTGTAGAGTTCTCTATTGGTCCTAAATGTAATACAAATTTATTTTAAAAAACATACACCTCCAATTATACCTCCATATTAAAACCGTAACAAATCCAATTTTTGTGAATGCGAGCATGTCTCCTGAACAGTTTATGATTTTTCTTTATTCCAAATGTGACAAAATTGATTATTTACAATGTTCTTTGACTAGAAATGACTTTCATTGCTTAAATCGATATTTTTAAGATCCATAATCTATTTCAAGTTAGTTGATCTATACAAAATCTACACAATATTTCAAAGCTTAGTTCACTGAGTTATGTTACAAACGTACATACTTATGAAGTTTATTTTATGCTAAGCCAAAATGTCCACTTTCTTCATAGCGTTGTCTTATGATTTTCACCCTCACTTTGATTTATAATATTGATATTTTCTAAAAAAAAGAATGTTCCCGGATAGAGCTAAGATTAAAATGACAAAAAAACGTGGTAATTTTGACAATACCTTTAACCATTTGGATTTGCAAAAGCTTCAAATTCAAAAACGAAAAGAGACCATAGAGCACCTTCAATGCCATTGATTAGGTTTGGTTATATTATAACTTTTTATTCCAAAAAAAAAAATTTATAAATTAAAAATCATGGTGAATACCACAATGCAATGGTGAATAATTTTAAACACTTGGATATGCAAAATCTGCAAACAGGAAAACGAAAAGAGACCTTAGCTCACCTTCTATGCCATTGATTAGGTTTGGTCATATTATAACTTTTTATTTCAAAAAAAAAAAATTAATAAATTAAAAAACATGTTGAATACCGCCATGCTATGGTGAATATCTTTAAAAACTTGGATTTGCAAAAGCTGCAAATTCGAAAAGGAAAAGAAACCATAGAGCACCGTCTATACCATGGATTAGGTTTAATAATATTATAACTTTTTATTTCAACGAAATACTAATAAATTAAAGAATATCGTGAATACCACCATGCTGTGGTGAATAGCTTTGATCACTTGGATTTGCAAAAGCTGCAAATAGGAAAACGAAAAGGGACCTTAGCGCACCTTCTATGCCATTGATTAGGTTTGGTCATATGTTATTATAACTTTTTATTCCAAAAAAAAAATTAATAAATTAAAAAACATGTTAAATACCGCCATGCTGTGGTGAATATCTTTAAAAACTTGGATTTGCAAAAGCTGCAAATACGAAACCTAAAAGACGAAAGCAAAAAAAAAAAACTAATAAGCTAAAGAACATGATAAATACCAAAAATAACCTTACACCCATTAAAAGCTGCAAATAGGAAAACGAAAAGGGACCATTGAGCACACTCTATGTAAATGCTCAGATTTTGACCAAGTTATTGCTTTGCAATGAAAAAATCGATGAATTACAGAGAATGGTGGATATTTCAATTGCATATATTTAGAGAAAATTCTCTGCAATTTCTTAAGTTAAATTTCTTCAAACTAATTCCCTTTTCTACTCAGAATTTATTTTAAACACCGCAAATCGGGATCGGTAGAAGAATCGGTTGAAGACGAGCTGTACAGGCGCTAAAACCAGCTAACAAACCAACCGTAGACTTCTTAATTTCAACTAAATATTTCGGGTCATAATTTCTACTAATATTTACTTAATATCAGTAAAAATTGATGAAGTTATTTTAAATGTGACATTAACATTATTATGACTCCAAAAGTTTTAGTGACTCTTACGAACATCAACATCTCTCAAGTCCTTTAAGAGAAGTACATTATTTTCTTTGTACAGTCTGTCAATTCTATGTATAATACTTTTAATATGATTTAAATATATAAATTTATATATTTTACGACTGTATTAGTAATTAAATAAATACAGTAAATTATTACAGACTGTATCATGGTGCTTAGTAATTTTTTTTATTTAATTCAACATTTAAAAACATTAATTATTTCTAGTTTTGAAAGCCACAAAATCTTTACGTTTGTTAATTGAATTTTAATTTTTAAAATTTTTATATCTAATTTTTTTTTTTTATTTTAAATTTGTTTATAATTACGTCAAAACTTGATTATATTGATTTTGAATTTATGTACAAATTATTGCAACGTAAATTAATTCATCAAGATTTATTTTCAAAGCCGCTAAAAATTTAAGAATATTAATAAAAATCACGTAATTTCTCTATGCTAATTTAGTTAATAAAATAAAAAAGCATTTCTCTTTCTGTATTATAATTACTGCTAACTTTCAAACCAAGGGCAGATATCTATAGCGTCATTTTCTAAAATTAGAGCAATCTTTATTAATATTTGAAATCATTGATAGAGTCATTAAAGTATGTTCTTTATTGGGAAGATAAAAACTTTTCAAAATATTTCGCTTCAGATTTTAAGAATCTGAAAGACTTAAAACTATAACTTAAGTCTTAATACTGACTTTATTCATTCTTAAACCATCAATTAATTCTCACTAAAGTTAACTTAGATCCTTAAATTAGCTTGAGACTTAAGTTAGCTTTGAGATTCAAGTGAGTTTTGAGACTTAAGTTAGTTTTGAGATTCAAGTAAGCTTTGAGACTTAAGTCACAGGAGTGATATCGGTCGTCGAAATCTGTAAAGTACTCAGCAGTTGGTTTTCTATGTTTTTTCATTCAAAATACAAATGTTCAAAGAACAAGAACAAAAAATAGTTATAGCAGTAGCTACATTTTTAAACATCCCATCTTAAATATGCATTATCATATCATATCAAGTTATTCTTCTGTGATCCTCATTTCCCAGTGGAGCATAGGGCCTCAGTTATAGGATTCAAATAATATATTTATGTCACGTTTTTTTATATACTTTAGAAGCTATTAATTTTGCGTGAAGTTCAGTTTTAAAACATTTATCGCAATTCAGTAGTTAATCTGCGAAGGAAGGAACTCCTTTATTACCTGTGAAGGAATAACTTAACTGGTCTTATTGCAAAGATCTCCAAGATTACGAACTGGAAATGTTGGGACTTTTTAGTCTGTAGGCATGTATGATTGAATGTGTGAGTTATGCATGCAAATGGTATGGGACATTTGTTTCTTTAGAAGATTTTTCCTCCAGGTTCAATACCAAACAAATAAAAACGTAGTTAATTAAAAAAAGTAGTTAATCTGTACCATACTTTTTAACAAAAGTTGGGAAGACTCATCGATATGCATGTATCTGTATGCCATTTGGATACGCTCCGATAAAAGGGAATTCTACTCTCTCATTCAGATGTCCTGTAGAGATATTGGTAGTAAGATTACTTATAGATTATTGCATTTTAAGTTATCATACTAAAAGATTAAATCTCCCTTTCAATCATACCTGCCGCAGTTGTGGAAAGGACCGTGACAGTGCCTCCCATCTGCTTTGTTTCTGTCCAGCACATGCGCGGAACTGTCTTACCACTTTAGAAGTTTTCTTTTTTGAGGATCTTGGTGAACTACAAGTTCTTTTTTTATATATTATAAGCTTTGCCTAAGGTTCTAAGTGATTCTAATCTCTGAGTTTTTAATTATACGATAAGACAATGGGCCTATAAGCCTTAGTAAATCCCCTGACCTGACCTAAGAATTGAATCTCCCTATTAACGGCAGTGAGACAGTATATATTATTATTATTAACGTCGACTTGTCCATCCCTCTAATCTCATTGACATAGGCATACATATGTGCTGAATAACAACTCATGAAACTTACTAATGCTCTACTTTCAGCAC